AAAAAATGCACAACCAAATAACACATTCCTCCAATGATGATTAATTTCGACAAAAGGGGTACAAATTAAGTTGTATCAATTAGTCCTATAAGTAGTATAAAAAATGATGACATCTCCAAATGAATCATAATCCAACTTTGATCTATCGTCCCTCCAAAAGAAATTTGTCATTTTATTTTCTTGATCTACTTGCACTAAAAAAAAAATAATGGATCTTCAACTTGTTTATGCTTGAAATGATTCACGACACTTTGACCATCCCTTGCTTCAGTCATCACTTTTCTCATAGAATGTAAGTAATTGTGGCAATCCTTTTGAGTAAATCCAACATGGTTTATCCCACCTACTTCCTTGGCCAAGAATGAGTATGATTTTATTGGTTTGATACCTACATTCACCATTGAACTTATTACACGAACTTGTGCTTTTAATATCTTCCTTCTAGATCTTAAATTACGCCTTTCTTCCTGATTTACAAGTTCATGGTTGTGCTCATCATTCAAGTGACTAACCTCCCAAATTCCATTTGATGTAGTGAATCAAATTCTAGCCCTGCATCCCGTTCTTGTCTCTAAATGATTAATCTTTTTCACATTACAAGAATCTTCATTCCTACGAAACCCTTGTTTTGGACATATGTATTCTCGTTGTCGAAGTGTACTATCAACAAACTGCATGTTCCCTTTCCTTATACTGAAACCCTTTGATAAAACATATTGACTGTAAAGATGATATGCTTCTTCTTCATATTTAACTTTTACACCAACTTTAAGCTTATTATCAAATTTAGAAGAACTTCCAATCTTAGAAGCCATAAAAGATATCAAGAGAGAAAATCATTTGTAATTTTAAAAAGTTAAAAAACTTATTATGTCTATTGTAACAAATTACAAAAAAAGAGCATAAATTCAATTAACAATAGAATTGCTTAAAGCATATGGCAATGGAAAACAAACCTTCTTTGGAAAAGAATCAAGAAGATGAAGAAGGTCCACTTTTTGATTCATAGAAGAAGAGCAAATTACATGGAACAGGGAAAATCTTCAACTAAATATATTTGCATTTTTGTATTTTTGCCTAAGGTTAATGGTTTGAGTGAGGGGAGATTGACATTGACTACAATATTAAAAGTATGGAAAATAATGCAACAAAAAAGAGAGAAAATGAGAGAAGCGAGAAAGGCGGCAAACAAATTTTATTTTGGAAAGATTTTCTATTAGTTAAACTTGCCGTTAATTAATTTGGGTTTCCCGTTTGTTTTCCTCTCTGTTAGATAATTGATGAGGTGTAAAAAAAGGCTGACATGGTGGCTTTTAATTGGATCGGAATACCATGTTAGTGGTATCACAGTGATACCCCAAACTTTCTCCATTATGAGGCCCACTTGTTTCACATCATCTTTCTTTGTTTCTCCTTGTGCTGAATTTGCCCTAGACTTCTTGCCTGCTCCCTCTCACATGTATTATGTAGGCGAGATTTCTTCATTGTTTTACTATTTTGCCTCCAAAGATTGTGAGTTGGAAAAGATCAAAGTTAGGACATTGATGGCAATGGATGTATTAAATTCATCCTTTTCGCTCTTGAGCAGTATGTTTCACAGTTTGATATTGTAGTTCCGGTGATAAAACCTGTGTGGCAATTCTTGAATCGAACCAACACTACTAAAATTCCAACCTTCTGCAACATGAGAGCACGTTGCTGAAAGTGCTTGTCATGTAAGTAAAAGCCCTTCAGCAACATAGCTTTTGTTGCTGAAAGTTTTGTTGGAAAAGCTTTGGTGGCTGATACATTAGCAACAAGGGGTATATCAACAACATACCCCTTGTTGCTGAAAGTGTTTGTAATATTCTTTGCCAGATTCCGGTGATCGGTAAGTTTAAGGGAAATGATGGTTTTCTACAAGATGGTTTTCCCTTTCCCAGTTTCAACAACAAGAGCCACGTTGTTGAAAGTTCAGGAATAGTACATCCCCTAGTTTTCAGCAATGTATGCCTTGTTGCTAATATTTATTTGCATACTTTCACCCATATTTTCAGCAACCCACCCATTGTTGCTAATGTTTATGCTAAATAGTCCCACCCACATTTTTATCAACATATCCTTTGTTGGTGATACATCAAAATACCTGATAAAAAAAAATTATACTTACCAAAATTCTAAAAACATATTTTTTATTTTAATTTTTATGATAATAAATATATTATATTAAGTTTATACTATATGTATTCAATTTAATAATATTACAATATTTAAATATAAAATTCACTTTTTTTATAATCACCAAATATTAAATATCTTGATATCTCATAAACAATATAATTAATTATGTGTATAATTAAAAAAATTAGAACTAAATATTAAATATTTATTAATTAACTACATTAATAAATTTTAGCTTAATAAATGTAAATTAAATAACATCAATTAATTAATGTCTTATTATGTATTTTACCAAACTTGAATTTTATTTTATTAAGAATTACATACAAAACAAATAAAGTAACAAAATTATTAATTACTAAAGATAATTATTTATAAATGTATTAACTTCCAAATAAATTAATATCTACTTAATAATGTAATATTTATAAAAATATGATTTAAATATACTTAAAGGGAATTGATGAAATTTTTTCAGTTATTAATATATATACATATGAATGATGTGCTAATAGAGGAAAAAAAAAAAAAAAGTTGAGAGGCACAGCAAAGGATGTTGTAATAGGCTGGAGGATTTGCAGCAGGATGAAGGATTTGTAGCAGGCCACGTGACGAGAAGGAAGGCATGCGAGAGAGAAATATTGTAGAATTCATAGAGAAGGGGTTGAGAATTGAGATATATAAATAATTTTAGCAACATAACTTTTATTGTTGAAAGTTTACCCTTCTATTTGCAACTTATACCATGTTGCAAAAACTCATTTGAATTTGAATTTGAATTCTTTTACTCATCACCGACGTATATTATGTTACTAAAATTTAAAATAAAAAAACTCCTACCACACCACCAAATGATTAAAATTATTATATTTTAAATAATTCTTAATATTTAAAAAATTCATTTTTATAATTAAAATTTAATTTATTAATTGATTTTATTTAATCCATTAAATTTTATTTAACATATGACAAATTAATTAAAATAATTACATTATTTATTAACATATTGAAATAATTAGTTGATATTTGTGATTTTATTAAATACTACATATTTAACACATTAATTAATATAATTACATTATTTACTCTTTATTTAAATGATTTAAATCTCTAATTCATTTAAAAAAATAATGTAGACATCCTGGGTGCATATATAATGGCTAGAGAAATTAAGGTATAAATATAATGACCTTGGTCAACTACTAGTCAAAGTGGTAATATCAACAACATATCCCTTGCTGTTGATGTTTAGTTGGTAAAAAAATAAAAATAATAGCAACATGGTATATGTTGTTAATACTATAGATGGTTGAAAATTTTATAGTAACATAATTCTTGTTGCAATTTCAGTAACATTTTCAACCGCAACAGACATGTTACTGAAAATGAAGCCCTTATTTAGGTGGAAAGTGCAATGTTAGGTTACCAGAAAATATTAATAACATGGGGTATGTTGTTGATATTTTTTTTTAGCAATATACCTTTTATTGTTGAAAATGAAGCAACTTTTGGAAGGAGAAAAGTGTACTACGTAACTTTCAACAATTAAAATTTTATCGATGATATAATTTTTTAACAATAAAAGATCTCATGTTACTAATATTTGTTGCTAAAAGTTAAAATTTTAGCAGCGCAAATCGTTCTATTTCATCAATGTGTCCACATACTTCTCCTGGTGGATGGATCCCCAGAACATCGATCTCGATTACGCCATGCTTTAGTCCCAAAATATCACCTACACCAATCCTATTTCAAACTTGACCTACACCAACCTCTTCTATCAAATGATCGACGCCGTCATTTTGGCTATGAAAATGCCTAAGTACCTGGACATTCGGATTTGGATCGCCGAAACCAGTTGGCCCAACGAAGTGACATCAACCAAATCGGATGCAACATTTACAATGCCACCACTTATGACTGAAACATAGTCAAGAACCAAGCCACCGATCGGAACTCCAACTTGACCCGTATCCATCCTCTTGTCTTTTATCTTCGGCCTTAGCAACAAGAAGAAGAAACCAGATCCAATAAATCTTTTTGAATTAAATATGAAAAAAAGGCACGGAAAGGACACATGGATGGTAGAGATTAAAGTTGGAGGAGATAAAAAGGCATAATTGATGGACACGTGTTCAGAGACAAACAAAAAAAATATGAATTAAAAATTGTATAATGGCCCACGTTTTATTTGCAAGTTAATCCTTTCTTTCACTTTAAATATTATTTTTATGATTATAAATTTAAGGAAAAATATTGTATAGGTTGTCCTCTAAAATTTTTTAGAATTTATCAAAAATTTATCTTTCAATTAATATTTTTAAAAAT